GGATCCTGAAGAACAGGTTCCTCATTTTCACTCATTTTTGCCACAGGTGGGATAACAACAGGTGCTGGCACCACAGTATCTAGCACTGTCGGTGTAGCTACAGCAGGTAGTGAGAAAAATGGCTCATGAATCATTAGAGTAGGCGCATACACCCGCTTCACTTCAAGGACAATTTCTCGAGCTACCATGCTCCCCCTCATCTTTTCATCTTCTAGAAAAACAGCGTGTTTCGTTTCCATAAACTTTGTATGTCTCTCTGGACAGTGGAAAACGAAAACTTTTTGACTTTTCTGTGTAGCCAATAAAATGGCAACTTACTGTTTTGGGATATAACTTTCCAATGTTTGGGTTAAATACTTTAGCCTCAGCAGGGCTCCCCCACACACACGCAAGTGGTTTAGTGAGAGTACTCTTTCTGTCCACAACTCATACGGTGTTTTGGGCACCGACTTTCTTGATACTCTATTGAGAATATAAATGGCGGTTTTAACGTCTTTATTCACAGGTTCAACTGTAAGGTGGAGTAACTTATCATACTGCCTACCATATCCATCAGGGTACGATTGATTCTTTTAGATACTCTATTCTGCTGAGGTTCGCTCGGTGTAGAATACTGAGCTACTATGCCATTCTTTTAGGGTATGCCGACCGTAGTACTCCTCCACGGTCAGACCTGACTATCTTAATCTTTAATATCTTAAATTTATCCAATACATCTTTTCTTTCTTTGATTGGATAAATATAGTCATAATGGGAGTAATCATCTGTGAATGGATCATAACCATCCACACTCTTTATAGAAAAACTGACCACAGATGTCTGTGTGAATAACCAATAAAATTTCTGCGCTTCGTTTGGCATCTTTCTTAATCTTCTTTACATACTTTCCTTTTATGCATTCTCTACGTTGTTCTAAATCTGAGAGCTCTAATGAAGAAAGAATATTATTCTTAACTTGTCTTTCTATTCTCCCCTTCGAAATATGGCCTAAACGACAGTGCCATAATTTCGACAACGCATCGTGAGCTCTCTTATGCCACCATTTCCAGAGTAACACTCTGTGACCAGCTTTATCAGCTAAGTGGCATATCTTTGAAGAGCCAGTGAACTGCTCTTTATTCTATCGAGGTACTTGGTGACCGTGTCACATTCTGGGATTGAGCCCACAATTGTAGGTTCAATCATGTTCTTTATCACAGCCAAACATTTCTTGTTTGCAGTGACCCACTTCCTATGCTCAAAAGCCATAGGATATCTTTTGGGATTCAAAATCCCTTTCTTTAGTTGCCCAAGTGGCATCATTCTCTTTTGTCTCCCTCACCGGTGCCACAAACTCAGTGGAACACGGTGAGGTGACTACCCAGTCCACCTTAAACAAGATGAAAACCATGTTAAATCTTTTCTTAACATAAAATTAACACATCATTTGCATGCCTTGATTCCAACGTTGGTCAAAATCAAAACATATAATTATTCTTATACACTAATTCTACATCACCGCTAAGCGTAAATAGAATTAATGCATAAATCTTTAACTTTGACAACTGTTTTACACACTAATTCTACATCACCGTTGGTAGAAGTAGAATCAATGCATAAATCATTAAAATTATCAACTTTTCTTATACACTAATTCTACATCACCGTTAAGCGATGTAATTAATGCATAAATCATTAATATTACGATATTGTTATTAACAACGTTGGTCGAAAATAACAACATCGTAATTATATCAAAACTCTTTTTTTCTCCAATTAAATACCACATTGGTTCAAAATAATGGAGAATCAACAGTTTTCTTTAGCAAATGAAAACTTTTCTTTTTCTCCAAGTAAATAGCATGTTGGTTCAATATAACTGGAGAATATACTTTTTCTTTAGCTGTGGGAAAACTCTCTTTTCCTTTAAATTTACCCCACAGGAAAATTTCTTTTTCTATTTTCTTTAATCCATTAATCAATTTCGTGGAATAAACATTTTCAGGAAAATCTTTTCTTTTCTCGATTAAATATCATGTCGGTTCAAAATCTTTGGAGGATGTACTTTTTTTCTTCGCAATGGAAAACATATGCTCAATTTCTTAAATTTTACCCACAGGTAAAATCACTTTTCATATTTTCTTTGATATAGTTTTCATTTTCCGAAATTAGCAACCTGGAAAAGAAAAACTGATCTTGATTCTTTCCCTTTTTCGCCCAACGGTAAAACCCACTCTACCGCCTCTCTCTCGCACACAAGCAGCCGCACCTGTGTCGCAACTCGGGCCTAGGTAAACAAGCCGCCGTGGCGCGCTCCCCACTTTGGGCCGCTCGTGGGCAGTGCATCCGCGCCGTTGGATCTGATCCGACGGCCGTCCGATTGTTTTCGGCCGAAAAAAAAATGACTCGACATGGGCCCCAAACCCTAGTCTCATTCGGCACTTGCCCTTCTCTCTCTTCTTCGCCTCGCCGCTCTCTCTTCTCTCTACCTCTCAAGGTGCAGCCATGGCAGGATCGACGACAAGCGAAGCGGCGGTGGAGCGAGTTTTGGCGCGTCGTCGCGCCCCTCGCCGGCTGCTGCTGTGCTTCTAACGGTGAGCACGTCATTGCCGAGCAGCGGCAGCGCTTGCCATGGCGCCTGGCTCGGCTCTTCTTCTCAGCTGCCGTGAAAACATCCGGCTCTTCTTTTTCCCATGCTTGGTGAGGGTGGATGCGTCCCCTTCCTTTCTCCTTTCCCCCCCTTCTTCTTTTCGATTTGGATCTCGCTTTCCTCTTATCCGAACCGAACCGAAGGAGGGATTAGGGTTAGGGTTTCTTTGATTCCTTTCTTTTCTTTTCTTTGATTTCTTTTGTTTCTTCTCGGATTCAACCGGTTAGGGATGAGGATCCGTCTAGGGTTAGGTTTAGGGTTAGGTATGCCACCCTATTCTTTTCCCCTTTCTTTTTCTTTTTCCTTTCTTTTCTTTGACATCCGAATGGATCTAGGGTTAGGTTCTTTTCTTTTATTTCTTTTCTTTTCCTTGTTTACCCGACAGATTATCCTGTTCTAGGGTTAGGGTTTCGACTCTGTGAGCCTAGGGCCCTATTTCTTCTCTCGATCCAAAAGGATCTCATTCTTTTCTTTACTTTTTTGCCGTGGCGTCATCGAGCAGTGCGGCTCCTTTTCCCCACGCTGCGGTGGCGGTGTGATGACCGAGACCGTGAGCCGGTCTCTCTTTCTTTTGCTTTTACCCGGTTAGGGTTAGGGATACAGGAATACAGAGGTAACCCGCTCCGATACCATTGTTAGGATCGATGTGAGTACCTTTCGTGTAACCCGTGAGATCCGAGTAGGCTCCTAGCCCTTGAAGAGATGCACCGCACCCGGTGTTGTGGTGTAGAAGACGCCGTCGGCCTTGGCGAGATGAAGTCTAGTGACGTCGGCGGTGTCCTGCAGTGGGAGACGGCGGTGGTTGGGGCACATCCCGTCGCTGGCAGCAGCTCTTTAGATCGGTATTAGGGTTTCTGTAGGTGGGTGTGGCGGCTCCAGTGAAGCTCTTTTCGAGCTCGATCCCCACCTTCTCTATTTGTATGTGTTGTGCGACAGGGGCCCACCAACCAGTTAGGGTTAGGCTCCCCCGATCAGGGAGCAGAGCCAAGGGCCCAATACCTATTGGTGGAGATCAACTAACATATACTTCTCAAGTATTTCAACGCAATACATTGTTTGCTTTAGGAATGGAAAACAAAAAAAACTATTTTCTCTTCTGCGCCGCGCTGGCCGGCGTTGACATGGGCTCAAAGCAAACTCCCCCTCTCTCTCATCAAATGGCTAGTGGCCAGTGTACGCTCAGTACCTTCCTCTTAAGGTGGTCACAGTTCGAGTCTCAAGGGACTCACTTTTTATTTGTGGCTTCGGCCACAGTGACCAAGAGAAAAAAAATCTCCCTCGTCTAGTCTGTGGTCAGCTCATCTCACGAAGCTACGATACCGCTGTGTATGGGTGAAGCAGAGATTCGGAGGTTTTTTCAATCTGCGTGAAAAGATCTTTTTCTTAAACCAAAATGCTTGGGGCTGTGTACCCACCACGGATCGAGTTTTGAAAAAAAAAACTATTTTCGAGCGTAATACATTGTTTGCTTTTGGAAGGAAAAAAAACTATTTTTATTTAAAATAAACCGGGAATCGAACCCGGGTCTGTATCCTGGCAGGTACTATTCTACAACTATACAACTAGACCACCGATGCTCGCGTGCTATCCGTGTCTCTGTCTTCATGTTTACTTGTATTTTATGACTGCTGCGTGCGTGACAAATGCTTAACGTTCCCAACCGGGCAAACCTGACGAGCTGTCTGGTAAAGGCCATGTTCACTTCTCTTATAATCCGTATTTTTCAGCTTATTTTTTTAGTTGAAATAGTATTTTTTTCTCAAAATAAATTAGTTGAAATAATGTTTCAACTTATTTTTTTAACGAAGCAAACAGGACCATATTAACACCGGCCAACCTGGTAGGTAAACTAATTTGTCTGCCATGTATTGAAGTATCACTCCACACAACGTAATTAGCGTGGGGACGAATCCATGATGCAAGCACGTTCCTTACGTGGTGCAAGATCGTAAATAATGCCTGCCTGTCTTAAGTGTTTTTGTGATGATGAAAGGTAAATTCATCAAACGTGGATTGCCCCAAAACATACAAATCCTTCGCACATTTATAGAGGCCAGGTCCAAGACATGGGGGCGAGCCTCACTTTCGCACATTTATAGAGGCCAGGTTCATTGAAATATTATGCAACGACATATATGATTGACAAGATGCTGGTTAAACATTTCATGCCAATTGGTGGATCATAACAACAAAAAACGCAAGAAAAGCGCGCATACAAAATGATGCCCAAAAGCACTGATCACAGCAATAAATTATTTTTATCTTGGACAAAACATTCTCTGCAGGGGGAAGCATCCAGTATGAGAAATTGCAGCCTCAGTCGCTAACACTACCAAGCAGAACTCCAACTTGTAGACTCATATGGCAAACTTCAATTAATCCCAAACTTGCAGACTGGGCACAGTTTCTTTCTTTTAAGCCACTCGTCAATACACTGCAACGTGCAAACAGTTTGACATCAGAAACACGACAAAATTCAGCGGAAGTGATTGAAAGATAACAATCAGGAGGGATACCTCTTTATGGAACTTGTGAAAGCATGGCAAATGGCGGATAGTATCTCCCACGGAAGGATTTTCAAGGCAGACAGAACATGGATCTTCAATGCTATTGGACTGTCGGAAACAGGAAATCACGGGAAAGTAGTTAGGATTTTTCAGTCAAGGAGGAAAGGCAAAAAAACTTATACCAGTTTGGAAGGTACCTGAACTACTGACTGCGGCAAATTATTGATCTGGCTTTCTGAAGCACCAGCGTGCTGGTGGTTATTTTCATCCAGTGCAAGCAGTGCGTCATAGTCATTTCTGCAACAAGCCAACAAGTGCTCTTGTAGGACGTTTAAAATTTCAGTGTCTTTTTTTAGAGGCGGGGGTGTCCAAGAGAGAATTGCTATAGTAGCCTAAATGCAGATAAAATAAACCACCCAGTACAAGATTTTAAACAGATGAATAGGCGGAAGATAAAATCATTTTTTTAATATCTTTCCTTGAGAAAAAGATGATATATGCACACGAAGAATGACATAGATGATAGATACATAAAGCTTTCATTTCAAGCAATATAATGAATTGAACATGTAGACTGTTTTGAATTCTCAAGTCAATCAAGCAACTTGAAGGCCAGTGGAACTCTAACAGATGAATAGTAGAATGATCACTTACAAGTCAATGTTTGGTTGAATGTGCAAAGCACCAGGATATCTTGCTAAAGCAGCTCCCTGAAAGTAGCAAAATAGAAGCTGTTAATAATCTTCTATCTAAGGTAACAAAAAAACTGCTAACTCAATGAAGACTATCATCACAACTGAGTACAGAGAGCAGCTGAGGACACCCCTGTGGTAAAGTTAGGAGTCCAAAGCATCTACCAGAAAAGTACAAACAGAAGCCAAGGTATGATAGTGCTTGTCCATAGACAAACATATAACTGATCCAGTATTTAACCAATCAAATTCCAATGTACATTAATAATGTAGTAATACGGCCTTTCAAAAAATAATCTAGTAATACAACTGGAAGCCTAAAAAAGTTGTATAATGTTGCCATATGATTTGAATGCATTGAAGCTGAATAACATGTTGGTTGGTCTAAAGAAACCCAGAAAAAGTTCTTTTACTGAGATGCTAATATATTGATATTCAATTATTCATAGTAAAAACAAAAAAGGGCAAGGGAGAATTAATACCAATCCCAGTGTTATTGGAGCAGTACTCTGCAGACGGGAAATCATATCGTTTGCTGTCGCCAATCGAGCCCTAAGAGCATTTCGATAAGAACTCAAACGAGAAGCCCGGGCATCTCTCTATAATAAAAAAAAGGATTAAACATGTCAATTTCAATAGAGACAGCACAGCAAAGGATTTTTTTTTTCATAAAGAATACTTTCTTTCTGCAAGATTTGGTTAGCATATTTCTTGTTTTTAATATTAAAAAATATTAACTTCATATTCAGATCTTGTATTGCAAGAAAAGCTATAAGAGCTACTGGTTAGTAGCTATGCAAAACATAAAATGAGTTCAGTGCTCTCACAGTATTGTTTTGGAACCTCCTTACAGGCCTAGATGTCCAATGTGTATCTTCTTCATGCTGAAGTGACATTGCTACGATTGCATCAATCTGTTTTATGGAAAACTGAGAATCTGACTGTTTTCTAATCATCAAGATGTTGAATGGAGTACTTAAGAGAGAGATGATGAGAAATTACCTCTTCTGTTGGGGCAAAACGAGGAGATTCATTGTAAAGCTGCTCCTGGAGTTGGCGAGCCAATAACTCATCCGACTCCAATTGTGCTTCTATGTTAGGATCAACGGAGGTTCCATTAGTGAATCCACTCGAACTAGGTCTAGCTTCAGGGAATATGTCATCTATGGTTATTACAGGAATATTATGCTGATGACTGGTATGATTTCTGCCAGCTGATATTTTTGACGATTGAAGAGAACCTCTAGGTTCGTCCACAGCACTAGAGCTTTCACCAGTATGAGAAGAAGTTGAGGTTTCTTTTCTCCATCCTTTACGAATCATTATTGTTTCATTCCCTAACCTATCAGGAACCATCATGGTTGCTCCACTAACTGAGCTATGATTGCCTCCAGCAGATCCATGGTTTTGATTAGATCGCATGGAAGATCCAGATTCCCGTCTGGAACTACTAGTTGCGTTACCCATAAATGAAATGGGTAATTTACTTGTGTGGTTGTGTGTTGTTCTCCAACCTTGCTCCACGTTTATATCAGAACTGTTTTTGTTTACATAAGTTCCAGCAGTACTAAGATCAACCCTGCAACAACAGAGGTAGAAGTAAGACATACCACATGTTGCTTCTCCAACAGTATAGTGACCAGAAAAAACAAAGTATTCATTTCATATGAAATATAAGGTATCTTCCTAAACAAAGTCGAGTGGACAAAAAAAATGCCTTCTAAAGCAATCAGTTGGGTTTCAACGTAATCCATGTCCATCAAGCTAACTGTACTGTAATTATATCAGTTCATTCAACTACCATTTCTTACATAAGCCATATTGCCATGTTTTAGTCTTTTAGAAGAGAAGACCATACTCAAATGAACAAGTATAGCATGAAATGAACTAGTTATTCCAGTCATAAAAGAGATGAAGTAAGACAGCTTTTATGAGAACAGATAGAACATACCCCCTCAAATTAGCTTCTCCAATTTGATCACTATCCAAGATATCACTGCTAATTCCTTTTCCTTTGTTGTTGCGGCCTGATAAATTAGCTTCAGAACAATTGCTGCTGTTTGCATGATATTTGGACGGTGGAACCGAAGTCCTGCCAGTTGTGTCTGTTCTCAGTTTTTTTGTGGCCCTTGTGTCCATATTGTGTCCAGGGATCAATTTATTGTTCACTTTAGATCTCTGCCTTGTCATTATTGGTGAATTATCAGTGAGGTCAATCACATTGCTTCTGTCAAATGCATCAAGCTGAGGATGTGGATGGTGCAAATGTTCACTTGAAGAGCACATTTCCCGTTTTTCATCAACTTTTACATTTCTCTTGGCTATGTTAGAGGGAGAAATACATCCATTGCGGACCAGCCTTTTTTGGCCAACATGCCTTCGAGGAACAACACACAGAGGGCTTGTAGGTCCTGCAATGACCTTGTTAGTTGTCACTTCCCCTTTGATCTCCCCAGAACTTGATCCTGGACAAACATCAGCACCTGTTACACCTTTCAGCTTATCAGTAGTGCTAGTGCATGTTCTGTTTCCTGGTTTTCCCACTGGGATAGTAGGAAGACCTGATCCTATGCCTAGAAAGTTTGCATTCTGATGACCTGCATCTTGCTGAACAACCTCTCCATCTTTAGCTTGGAAGGTAGGTTTCCTTCCTCCAGTCACACTACAACTTATGTTGTTCGAAATGCTTCTGCTCTGATCCAAGCCATGTTTTTCAGCCCTCTTTTCATTGTCAACAGATATCCCTGTCCTGACAGATTTCTTTAGGGAAATTTTTGCATTATAGTCTTTCAGTTCCAGAATCTGTGCTGTTTCAGCTTGTTTGAAAATATGATCAGTATCTGAAGCTGCAGGCAATACACTACAAGCATTATTTTGACTTGAACCATGCAGGGAATTGTTCTTGAATCTAATTCTAAGTTTGCGCACTGGTGATGGATTAGCAGCTGCCATTGTATCATCCCTCCCAACAATAGAGCTGGAAACATGGTATTTTGACTGCTGTTGGTCAGGAGTGTCAGGAACCTCAAGAATCTCATCAAAATTCATGTCAGCCATATTCACTCTAGTTATTTAAGTTGCAGAAACTTGCCCCTTCACCTGTGAATGGAAACTTAAGATTCAACATTTTTCCAATGGTCACTTTACAAAACAAGCATTAACACTATAATGAGAACATTACCTATATAAACAAGAAAGTAAAACCAATAAGCAATAAGAACATGCAAAAGCTTGATTGGGATTTGGGAAGCATGACCATTACACATCAAGAGAACTTGAAAACTGGCATGGCTCTAACAATGGGGACACGGGACTTTGATGATGATAGCATGGTAGTGACACCGGGGATAGTGAGGCAGCTCATGGCAATATAGTCATGAATAGAATAGCAGGTGAAAGCAGAGAAAAAAATGAAGGTTGGGACTTGGAAGCAGGTAGACTAGGGGATGGTGTGATTAGAAGTATGGGTGTAGGACAAGATCGCAACAGTTGGACTGGATACAGCTAGTCAGATGCCAAAAACAACAGAAGCGGGACATGCAACTGAACTAGGTGAATGCTTTCTTTAAAAACTATGCTTTTCCGAAAAGTTAATCCTAACCAAATAGGATTGAGGGTTAATTCAAGACAAAAACAGTTAGCATTAAGCATATTAAGCATGTAGCAGCTTGCCTAATTTTGAAGTGCAATATACTATCTAATTGTTATAAATGCCTTATGTATTTTACTTAAAACAATTCAAAACAACATAACCTATCTTTCAAGTTTTTCCAAATCAACCACTATGTTGTACTGGTAACATAAAGCAATGCAATTGATTTTACTCAGAACACATTTCACACATCCCAGAATTACAGGTAAATACCTGCATAGTGCTATAACATCAAATTCTGGCCAGAAGGCCCTATTACCCCCAATAACTTGCCACTACCTGGCCACCAACATACCTGCGGCGTACAAAAGTACGATTGTCATATGTAAAATTTGGCGGCTTTGCCTCACCTGCTTATCCCTTCTAGAGAGAGCTCAACGAGACGGTGATGCCAGGCCGGTGCAGACCTGCCTTCAGTTCACTAGGGTTGAGATTCGTCTACGCCACGAGTAGAAGGGCGCCGCGACAGAGCGGAGAAGAACAACGGCGGCCCCATCGCCCCGTATCGGATGGAGATAGAAAGGAGCGCAAAAGCCGCGGAGGAGGGCCGCGGCGTGGAGGTAGAGGAAACGCTGTGGCGGGGACGCGATTGGGAGAGGACGTAATATGCGGCCACACAGCCCAAAACTCATGGAAATCACAGTTGGGAACCCATCAGCGTGTCTAGAACCAGCGAAGAACCCTAGCACGCAATAATCTGACGACATCGACGGAGATTACCTTGATTTTTTTCTCCCAATCTGATGGCGAAACGCTGCAAACGCACGATCCCCAAATCCTGCGAATCTGGAGCGATCCGAGGAGGGGCCCCGAATCAGGAAGACGGCGGCCGCAATAGCCGCCTGCTCCCAACGTCCTTCCTCCCCGATTTCTCTCTCCCCCCTTCCCTCTCTCTCTCTTCGGTGCTCAGTTTCAGTTTGAAATCTACTATTATATCATCGCTGCTCCTCTCTTTGCCTTTCCGCTGCCGCTCGGCCCTCGCACTCCAGCATCAACGCCCAAAAATACAACACCTATTCAACGTTTCTCGACATTTTCTCGACCAACACGATCAAAAAAAGAATTCTTTTTATAACAGAAAGGATACTCAATTAAAATAAATCTTCTATATAAATATTTTATTAAAAACTAATTTTAAAACTCTTGGTACCTATTTTAAATTAGGTTAGCTATTGAAGACAGTCGTTCAGGTAATGGGGTGGGGAGGTCTGCTGGTGCACGTGACAGGGAGGACGTCTGGCGCACGTAGACACTCCCAATCAGGCCCTGTTCCCGTTCGGCTTACCCGGAGTTTGTTCGTTCGGTTTTTCTTTTAACAGTATTTTTTTCTCACACTAATTCAGCCAGAATAGTATTTTTTAGCTAGTTTTAGTCAAAATTCAACGAGCCGATCAGGGCCTTTAGCTCATGGGCCTGTGGAACAGCAGCTTCTCGGAATTTTCCTTTCAAGTTTTTTTCACCAGACCTTGCCTCTGGGAATTTTCCCTGCAACTGTGCAGTTCTTTTTTCCGACACCTAATAAACGCTCGTATACACAAACACAAGTCCTACTCTTATAAACTATCCATGTTAACAATCCACTAGAACTTACAATTATAGCCAACTAGCACAGGTAATTATAATAGTTATCACTTCATCCATTAACATGCATTTAGCTGTGCCATATCAATGTGTCAAATCATTCACCAAAATTAATTTAAGATTGTTTCATTCATATAACTATAATTATAAATAGTCTATTTTTTAAAATAATTATTTGGAATCCCCGCAACAACACGCGGGGTATTCTTCTAATTCACCAAGTAACCAAACACACCATACTCCTATGAACAACTCTGAAAAACTGACCCTACCCATACGAGCACTTGCAAAAAAACTGAGTTAACGAATGAAATCACCGTAGACATACATCCTGCACCTTCGAAGTTAGACCGACCTTGCTATTACTGGAAAATAGTGTTGTTAAATTATGAAATAAAATTTAAAAAATATGAGTACTCATGTCAAGTCGAGGACTTGAATCCGAGTGGATAGATTCCACCACAACAAACCCATCCAGCTGAGCTATACTGAGTCCGCTTCTATGCAAATTCATTTGTAACAGTACCTCTAAGAGAAAAGAAGTTTTTTTTGGAACAATAACACATCAGCACGGACTTGTTAACTTTCTAAGAAAATCCAATGAAATGGCTTGTCGTGATGACATTTGGAGAATTTAGAATATGAGTTCAACCCCCATGAAAAAATTCTGAACTGATTTCTTTGTTTCTCTTCTGTTGTCTATCAGAATCCATCCAACGGGTGGCCATGCAAGTTTTTTTATATTCCAAAGGATTAAAGTTGCATACTCGAATTCTATGATCAAGAATGTCCCAAAGTGACTTTTAATATTGGCACGAGGTTTCTGCAACCCTAAGAATTTGTTTGGATCCATTAGCATTACCAGGGAACCGTTTGAATTCACCTATGATTGGATAGTGAGTTAAAAATGTATATATATAAACTATTAGCATCTACTAGCAACTCCAAACTAGCTAATAGAACTAATAGTTACAAGGGCTGGTGCTTAGCCCTGAGGGGAAGGCAAGAGGGGTGGCTATCTTGGGCCCCAAATGCCAAGAGGCCCAACCATAGATATGTATTCCATAGGTGTATGGCTTGGTCAATGCCCAACAACAAACCCAGAAGGCCTGAAACAGCTGGCATCCACGACCTACTTGCTTGACGTGATCTACTCGACGATTCCTCGTTTTCCTGAGGCCCACCCTCCCCGAGCAATGGAAGCCAAACAAAACTATAGCGACTTCTCTAACCAATCGACATAATACATATACTTTTTGTCATTATGGGTGTGTTTGGTTAGGTGGCCAACCCCTGGCCTGGTTTCCTAGAGCCAAGATAGGCTTATTTGGTTGGCTGTAGGTGGGTTGTGGCCTAACTTTGGGAGGCCATCAGTACGCCCCTAGCCTGGCTATGAAAGAACGCAGGTGGAGGTCATTTTTCTGGGGCCAGGCTTCAGCCAAGGCTCGCCTCACCTCCCGTGATCGTACGGCGTCGTGCTTCACCTCCCGCGGTGAAAGGATTCAAACAATGCCTAGAGGGGGGGTGAATAGGCATATCCAAAAATTTCCACATAATCTCAAAGTCAAATGTCAGTGGCAGTCGGAAGTCCTGATAGTTTGGGCCAGAACTTCCGGCGGCCAGAAGTTCCGACGCAAACAGCCGAAAGTTCCGACACCTACGAGAATAGCACTATAAGTGCTAAAACAAACTTTGAGTGCTAAGATGAAGTGTTGGGTTGCTCCTTTGACGCTGGAAAGTCACCACTTCGTAGATCAAGTCCAAACCCTAAGAGGAGAGTTGGGGAGAAAGATAAACCAACAAGAACAAATATGATAGCACAAATCACAACAACAACAAGCACGCATGACACAAGAATTTATTTCAAGGTTCGGCAACCCACAAAGGAGCTTCTACGTCCTCGTTGTTGAGGTGACCACAAAGGTCAGAGTCTCTTTCACCTCCTTGCCTCTCTCAAGGCAACCACAAAGGTTACTTGAGCTTTCCACTAAGAAATCAAGGGTAATACAAACTTCACAAGGCTCTTCCATAAGATGAAAGCTCTTGGGCGACGCCTAGCCGGCTAGGGCTCCAAGAACCCAAGAGTAATAGATGCAAATCCAACCGGCTTGATGAAGAAATCAAGTGCTCAAGCTAGCCAAAGTGATTCTCTCACTCAATCCACTCTCATTTCACTCAAAACCCTAAGGGAATCGAAGATTGGATCAAAGAGCAGAGGAGAGGGGTGCCTTGAATGCTTGGGAACTATTTTGGATGAAGATTGGTGAGTAATGAATGAGTTCACAGTTAGAAGAGAGGAGAGAGCTATTTATACTAAAAGGCAAATCCAACCGTTCAGATCTGAGTCAGAAGTTCTGACGTAGATCTTCGGAACTTCCGGCTCAATGCAAAAACATTGTTCACACAGACAGTCCACTTGGCTTGCTCGCATATCGTCAAAACTCCCGACGATCACTGGGACTTTCGGCTTTCGTCAGGACTCTCGACAGACGTGACGAGCCAGGTGACTAAGTCCTAAGGCGTCGGGACTTGCGAAGGGAGACGGGACTTCCGACAAGCGAAGATGCGCAGGCGGCTAAGTCATGAAGTGTCGAGACTTCCGGAGGAAGCCAGAACTTCCGGCACCCGGAACTCCTGACTCCCGATAGGCAAAGATGCATAGATGGGATGTGGCTAAGTCAACAAACGTCAGGACTTCTGGCACCAAACGTCAGGACTTTCGACAGTCGAAACTCCCGGCTCACGTCGAAACTTCTGACTATCAAAAGCCCATAAACTATGTCCAAGTGTTCATGAGGTGATTTTGTGTCTCTCATTTGATTTT